GGGCTCTATGCAGACTCTATGGGGTGATACGGAGGCTTTATGAGGTGACATGGGGCAATATGGGGTGATATGGAGACTCTATGGGGTGATACGGAGGTTTTATGGGGTGAAATGAGCTTCTATGTGATGATATGGGGCTCTATGGAGACTCAATGGGGTGATATGGAGGCTTTATGGGGTGACATGGGGCTCTATGGGGTGATACAGGAGCTCTGTGGGGTGATACATGATACAGGGCTCTATGGGGGGATATTGGGAGATGTAGGGCTCTGTGGGGTGATATGGGGCCTCTATGGGGTGATATGGGGCCCTATGGGGTGAGATAGGGAGATATAGTCTCTATGGGGTGACATGGGGTCTTTATGGGGTGATATGGGGTCACTATGGGGCCTATATAGGATGACATGCAGTCTCTATGGGGTCTCAATGGCTCCTTATAGGGCTCCCTATGGGGTTTCAATGGCTCCCTATGGGGTTTCCGTGGGGTCTCGATGGCTCCCTATGAGGTTTCTATGGGGTTTCAATGGCTCCCTATGGGGTTTCTATGGGGTTTCTATGGCCCCCTATGGGGTTTCTATGGGGTTTCAATGGCCCCCTATGGCGTTTCTATGGGGTTTCAATGGCCCCCTATGGCGTTTCTATGGGGTTTCAATGGGGTCTCAATGGCTCTCTATGAGGTTTCAATGGTTCCCTATGGGCTCCCTATGGGGTCTGAATGGCTCCCTATGGCCCGCTATGGGGTTTCTATGGCTCCCTATGGGGCTTCTATGGGGTTTCAATGGCTCCCTATTGGGTTTCTATGGGGTTTCAATGGCTCCCTATGGGGTTTCTATGGGGTTTCAATGGCTCCCTATGGGGTTTCTGTGGGGTTTCAATAGCTCCCTATGGGGTATCTATGGGGTTTCAATGGCTCCCTATGGGGTTTCTATGGGGTTTCAATGGCTCCCTATTGGGTTTCTATGGGGTTTCAATGGCTCCCTATGGGGTTTCTATGGGGTTTCAATGGCTCCCTATGGGGTTTCTGTGGGGTCTCAATGGCTCCCTATGGGGTTTCTGTGGGGTCTCAATGGGTCCCTATGGAGTTTCTATGGGGTTTCAATGGGGTCTCAATGGCTCCCTATGAGGTTTCTGTGGGGTCTCAATGGGTCCCTATGGGGTTTCTATGGGGTCTCAATGGGTCCCTATGGGGTTTCTGTGGGGTTTCAATGGCTCCCTATGGGGTTTCTATGGGGGTCCCCCCCTCAAACCCTCCCCCCCGCCCCCCCAAGGGCGCCGAGGCCCGCCTTGATTCGGACCTGCAGTCCGCCCGCCGCATGGGGGCGCCCTACGGCCTCAAGCTGGTTCGCGGCGCCTATCTGCAACACGAGCGCCTCACGGGGGCGCTGCAACCCAGCCGGGAACACACAGACCGCAGGTGAGAAAGCGGCGGGACGGAGCGCGACGTCATCACCGCGCGCCAGGTGCTGACGTCACTTCCGGCGCGCAGCTACGCCGCCTGCCTGGAGCTGGCGCTGCAACACGTGAGCGCCGGCCACGTGGCGCTGGTGGTGGCGACGCACAACGCGGACTCGGTGCGGCACGCGGCGCGAAGGTTNNNCCCCCCCCCCCCCCAATTAAGCTCTTAATGAAGGGTAATTAGGGCTAATTAAGGGTAATTAAGAGGAGCTAATGAGGCTTGCCCGCAGGATGGAGGAGCTGCGCATCCCCCGCGAAGGCCCGGTGTGCTTCGCGCAGCTGCAGGGCGTGGCGGAGCACCTGGGATTGGCGCTGGGTGAGCGGCGCGGCTTTGGGACAATTGGAGCCAATGGGGGCGAAGCGCGGCTTTTTTTCAGGGAGGGGAGGGGGGGGGTTGGTGCTCCTCGGCGCCATTTTGGGGCAAATTCCGGAGATTTTGGGGTTTTTTTGTGCCCGTTTTGGGGTAAATTCTGGAGATTTGGGGTTTTTTGTGCCCATTTTGGGGCAAATTCCCCCAATTTTGGGGCTCTTGTTCCCAATTTTGGGGCAAATTCTGGAGATTTTGGGTTTTTTTCATGCCCATTTTGGGGTAAATTCCGGAGATTTTGGGTTTTTTTGTCCCCATTTTGGGGCAAATTCCCCCAATTTTTTTTTTGTGCCCATTTTGGGGCAAATTCTGAGATTTTGGGTTTTTTGTGCCCATTTTGGGGTAAATTCTGAGATTTTGGTTTTTTTGTGCCCATTTTGGGGCAAATTCCCCCAATTTTGGGGCTCTTGTTCCCAATTTTGGGGCAAATTCTGGAGATTTGGGGTTTTTTCGTGCCCATTTTGGGGTAAATTCTGAGATTTGGGGATTTTGTCCTTATTTTGGGGCAAATTCCCCCAATTTTGGGGCTCTCGGTCCCAATTTTGGGGCAAATTCTGGAGATTTGGGGGCTTTTTGTGCCCATTTTGGGGTAAATTCTGAGATTTGGGTTTTTTTGTGCCCAACTTGGGGCAAATTCCCCCAATTTTGTTTTTTTGTGCCAATTTTGGGGTAAATTCTGGAGATTTTGTGCCCATTTTGGGGCAAATTCTGGAGATTTGGTTTTTTCGTGCCCATTTTGGGGTAAATTCTGAGATTTTGTTTTTTTTGTCCCCATTTTGGGGCAAATTCCCCCAATTTTGTTTTTTTGTGCCCATTTTGGGGTAAATTCTGGAGATTTTGGGCCCATTTTGGGGCAAATTCTGGAGATTTGGGGTTTTTTGTGCCAATTTTGGGGTAAATTCTGAGATTTTGGGTTTTTTGTGCCCATTTTGGGGCAAATTCCCCCAATTTTGGGGCTCTTGTTCCCAATTTTGGGGCAAATTCTGGAGATTTTGGGTTTTTTTGTGCCCATTTTGGGGTAAATTCTGGAGCGTTTGGGTTTTTTGTGCCCATTTTGGGGCAAATTCCCCCAATTTTGTTTTTTTGTGCCAATTTTGGGGGAAATTCTGGAGATTTGGGGTTTTTTGTGCCCATTTTGGGGCAAATTCCCCCAATTTTGGGGCTCTTGTTCCCAATTTTGGGGCAAATTCTGGAGATTTGGGGTTTTTTTCGTGCCCATTTTGGGGTAAATTCTGAGATTTTGGTTTTTTTGTCCCCATTTTGGGGCAAATTGCCCCAATTTTGTTTTTTTGTGCCAATTTTGGGGTAAATTCTGGAGATTTTGGGCCCACTTTGGGGTAAATTCTGGAGATTTGGGTTTTTTTGTGCCCATTTTAAGGCAAATTCTGGAGATTTTGGGTTCTTTGTCCCCATTTTGGGGCGAATTCCCCCAATTTTGGGGCTCTCGGTCCCAATTTTGGG